TACTCAATTTTCTTATGTTCTATTGATCTGGTAACTCCTAGTAATCTGGAACTTCCCAGAGGAGCGCTTTTCCGTTTAGGCAGGTTGCTTCCCGTACCATAGTTCATTTTTCCGAGCCTGATTAACGAGGACTTATGAAAAGAAGATTATGCGCTACAAAAAATGAAAAATCCAGAACATTTGTTTTTTTAATGGGACAACTGCACTTGTTCCAAAGTTGCGCTCTTGACAACATTTTTACAGCCGTAGGCAATATAAGGACATCTGCACTTCTTAACGTGGGTATCAAATGCTCATTTCGTACTAGCTGCGTTACTCTGCACTTACTTCAATACATTAATCAATCATATTTGCTTCGATGCGTTGATTAGATACTCTCATTTTGACGCTTTTTTTCTGTGCAACGCTACAGCGCTGCTGCAGTGAGCAAAAACGCATACAGTCGACTGGTCGCCTGTGTGTGTGTGTGTGTGTGTTCGGAAGCGAATAAACTTTGTCATCCACTTTCAACTCAGAACTCAGGAAAGCTGGGAGGCTGAAATTTTGGGGCGTATTCCCATCACGTGTCACCCTTTCATTTTGAAATCTCATAAGCGCCTAGATCTCGCGTGCGGGCCCCCAATGCAAAATTCATTAGCTGGAAACGATTTCGTAATCCAGACAAGATAGAAAGTTGGAACTTTACTGAGATATTCTTTGTGCATGTATGAACGGAAGATTTCAAATTCAGCTACCTCACACATCTGCACCATCACGTCAGAATTCACAACTTACACTATGCTAACTGGAAAACTAGCCGGAAAACAGTAGTTGAAATTTTGGCAAAATGTCTGTTGTTCGTATAGAAAGTCGTATACCTAAATTGAGATTTGATTTGCCTTTGCATCACGACTTAAGGCACTTCAAAGATATTTGTAGCGAAGTAGCTATTTCGCTTACCAGACATGTTGCGAAGCTAAAACTTTATAAAAATTTTCTATATTCACGTTTGTTCTTCATTCAGCTTAAAAATGTAATTCCATGCACGCGGGTATGACACATACTCAATTTTATCAAAGGCGAGTACATTTTGCAGATTTCATGATCCTCTCCCGACTTACATCAAATTTACGTTTTTACAGCGAGCGAGCATTCGCTGGAAAAATGACCGAGCTTCATGTAAAAATTGATAATCAAGCATGCTGAAATTTTGCACGGCCCCACAATGCAGCGCCTTCATCCCAGCCGACGCCATTTCCATCTGCATGCGGGAAGAGGCCAAAAAACAGCAAATATGAGCCAAGCGTTTACGTTACATTGCAGGAACCATTCCTATTGTTAACAATTTGCGAGGTTAGCACAAAAACGCATGATCGCAGCAGCAGGACTGTTACAGCTGGGATTATATTTCCTCTTGCCACTGATAAAGTTGGCAACTTCACCGTTCTTCTTTACTTTATTCTTCTCTCATCCACATAATTCCAAGTCATTCATGCAGGTGAATCCTTCCACTGCACTGACGAATTTCCCTGTGCTCCTTTAACTGGGATGAACACCATTCAATAATTCGCTTTGTTCATCTGTTGTCTCTTATCCGTGAAAGTTTTTACTCTTTTTAGTATTTAGCAATTTTGCAAAAACCTTACTTTGCAAAAAAACCACTAAACTCATTAGAAAGTGTTACCTGATCCTAAAATGCACCGTTCAGAAAAAGAAATTTCTGGTTTTGCTGCTATTTCTTGATAATGCAAATTTCATACTGAAAAACTGTAATTTCCATTTATCTGCTTTTCTGAAATCGTTCCACATTATTAGTTGATTTTAAATTTAAAAACACTTTTCTGAGAAATTTTCCATGCTAAGTCATTGTCCCATGCTGTGATTCTCTTTGACAGTTTCGCGATTATCCATTTTCACACATTCTTTTCCATCGCTTTATAAATTTCTCTTTACAAAATTTCATTCGTTGAAGAACTCTTAATTGCTTTATTGCCACTTACTAAGACACTGAAAATCGTCCTAAGTTTGATGACTTTGTATTATTAATGTCCACTATCAATGTCCAGTTAATGTCCACTTTCGTACATTTCTAAAATGGTCAAGATAAGGGTAATTTGATGTATTCTAGGAAATTGAGAGAAAAATCACAGCATTTTACCGTTGCGATTTTTATACCGCAAGTCTGGGCTGGTACTGCTCGTCACTGGAATGTCATACCGTTTTAATTGATTACGTCTGAGATGTAATTACACTTTCTGATGGTAATCGAAAGCGTCGCGTCTTTAGTAACCGGTTTATAAGCAAGCATTTTGCTGTAAAAGGAAGTTCTTTCAGGTCCCACTTGCAGTAATAGCCTTTGCGGCGATTTAGTGAATTGTAACTTTAGCATCTCGACAGTGGATTTCAGAAAATCATTTACTAAAAAAACACAAAACAAAAAAATATAATGATAGAAATGTTTTCATGCCGTTTTTATGCATTTTTGCATTCAGACAGTGTTGAAATCCTTGCGTATTTTTGTCCCTCTGTATGTGAGTTCGTGTCTTTGTGTGCTTAAATGTGTGTGTTTGCATGTTTTTATTCACGTGTGTGCCTTTTATGCGTCTGTGTGTATGTGTGTGTCGCCATGTATGTGTATGCATATGTGTGTGCCTATGTTTGTGTGTTTTTGTACGTGTGTGTGCGTGTTCGTACATGTCTGTGTGCTGATCTCCAACAAAAAAAAAAAAACATTTGAATGACACAACTTTTGAAGGCTCAATTAAAAAGTGGAGCGGAAACGAATAAATTCTGTTCAATTTTTTCCCCGAAAATTTCGTCGTCGCTAAACCTGTTTTACGTGTAAACGATGACAGGTAATGGATGAAAGGTGGGGAGTAGAGGGAGGGAGTAGAGCGGGAGCGGGTAGAACTAAAGAATGGGGAGGGGGTGGCGGAAAAACAGGGCAAAAGATTGATGGACGAAGTGAATCGGATGGACGTGGATGGTCTCCTGGAAAGCAAAAGCAGGAAGTAGCGCGTGAATGTCAGGTGGCCTTTTCCACAAACTTCGGTCAAATTTAAGTTTAAATTGAACGCGGCGGCTGCTAACTCTT